ATATGCCTTATGGTTTTTGAGATATTTGCATTTAAAATTCAACTAATTTAAATGCGTTTTTCTCCAATTTATAATGAATTTTACATTAATATTTTTAGCTTTCATATCCACTAACACCACACTAATTTGTTTCCATCCATTTATTTTTTATTAAATAGTCCAAAAATAGTTTTTATTCAATATTTAACTTTTGTTAACTTCTTTTTGTCCACACAATAACAAAAGGGTTACATTCTAACTAATAACACTGGTTTACAGCAAAAATGTTCCATGAACGCCACTATCCAATTTGTATGTGGAATCGCTCGCTGATTTCGAAAATCGAATAATTTTATTCGACCAAAAAAAAAAAGGTGTCTTCATTTAGTCATGTATATCTCACTCACCATTCGTGGTGGGAGAGAGACTCCGTCGACGAGTACTATCAATCTTACTGCAAATTATAGAAAATAAAAGTGAATGAAATTTCCTAAAAATATTGTCTACTCCATTTATCCATAGGCCTTATAATTTCTGAGAAATTGATTAATCACTTCGTGTTTTTAAAGTTTTTTATGAAAAAATTAAAAAAAAAAATAAACTTTGGTAAGGAAAAAATTTTAAAACAAAAGATATTTTTTTTTATTTTATATGAAGTCCTGTTTCTTTATAAAAAACTAAGCTACCAACGAACAAAATCCATGGATAAATAAGAAAGTTGTACATGATCGAATAAATATATCTTATCTATATATATATATACATATAGTGTGTAAAGTAGGGGTGGGATATCTAGCTATGCGCTGTTTCTGTTAAGTAAAAAGTCAATTTTCATGTCGTTTTTAGTTTTTATAAACTCATTTTTTTATATATTAGTAATATGTATTAAAACAATGTGTTATTTTTGTCTTAAGTTGATGTTCTTACATTATAGTCGAAATGATTATGTGTTTTGTTTTGTCGTTTATTCAGTTTAGGATCGGTTTCTCTTATGACAAACCAACAGTAGTCACCCATCATACCCCACCATACGTCCCAGAAATCTTGGTATCGATTCTCAATTAATTTCATTTGCTGGTGAAACCTTTCGCCATGCTCGTAACTTTCGTCTCCGAGATTTGCCGGAAAAAAACTTAAATGGGAATGCAGAAAATGAATTTTTAAAGACATATTTACGCCTGGAGAAAAAAGAAAATGTAAATAAGTAAATTATAAAATTTTATATAATTCAATTAAATAAGTTTTGAAGAATCACCCATTTCTGCATAATTTTTGATAAAGTCGCTCACTATCTTCTCGTAGTTGGGACTTTTGTGTTTACCGAGAAAAGAAGAAACGACCATTTCGAAGGAATCCCACGCTGCTGCCTCAACTGGTGACAATAGTCCTTTGAATTGGTCATTATTTATCAACTTTTTTATTTGGGGTCCAACAAATATACCTTCTTTTATCTTGGCCTAGGAAATATTTGGGAAAAAATTTTGCAAATAATTGAATGCTTTGCCTTCTTTGTCCAACGCCTTAACAAAATTTTTAATGAGGCCGAGCTTCATGTGTAATGGCGGAAGAATGATTTTTTCCTTATTTACAAGTGGGACGTATTTGATATTATCCACATTCAACTCTTTCCGGCCAATCCTTAATGCAATAGTGGTCTTTACGAGCTCGGCTATCCCATTTGCAGAGAAAGCTGCAGTGTTTTGTGTAGCCACTTTGTAGACCGCATAACATTCCAACGACTTTAAGATCGGCACATATTTTCCAATCATGCTCTTCATATTTGATGAATTTTAGCAATTTCTCCATTACCTCGTATGTTTCCTTCGTGTTTACTGCATGCGCGATCAGGATCGAGGGCTTTTTGTGCAGTAATACGGCCTTCAAGCTCAGTTTATTGCTGTCTATGAACAATCGCCACTCCTTGGAATCATATGGTTGACCAAACTCTTTGAATAATCCTGGAATGTCTTTCCAATAGCATCCCATTGTCTTCCTTCGTATAGTGTTTGGCAAATGGTTCGTGAYGATTTCTATAATATGTCACCTTAACATGGGGTGACACGAATTGAAATTGTTGCATACKAGAGGCATGTAGCTCAGCTTTTTCCTTGGATAATTCCAAATCTCTAATCCAATCGTTTAGTTGCGCTTGTGATAGAACGTTTCTCTCGTTTTCCATTAAAAATTCATTTCAACTTGATTTCCCATATTCAGATGATCTTTCAAATACTGCTGTTGACAACGAAACTGGATACGCAACTTCAGCTGAATGTGGAACTGGCAATGAAACGGTAGGTACGTTGGCGTAAATCACTTTTCTTGATTTTCCAAAGCCAAGTACTGTTTTTTTCATATAAAAATTTAAAAACACGAAGTGATTAATCAATTTCTAGGAAATTATAAGGCCTATGGAAAAATGGAGTAGACAATATTTTTAGAAAATTTCATTCACTTTTATTTTCTATAATTTGCAGTAAGATTGCTCAACTGGTCAGTGAGATATACATGATTAAATGAAGACACCTTTTTTTTTGGTCGAATAACGGTAAATTGCAAATATCTCAAAAACGTATCCATAAAAAAATTTACTCGATTTTCGAAATCAGCGAGCCATTTCACATACAAATTGGATAGTGGCATCCGTGGAATAAAAAACAAATTCAAATTTGTGACCCAGAGTAATCAGTGTTACCTTATACATATTTTACAAAAGAACGAAAAGAAATAAAGAAAACAAATAATACCCAAATGACTGGAAATAAATAATACATTATTAGTTTTTCGCATAAAATTTCTTTCTGCATTAGCAGCCATCGGCAGCGCTTCAAAAAAAAAACAAACCTGGTAATATATATTTTCTTGATCTGGATGTCCGCCTCTATCCGTACATACCCATTTTAACTCTGAAATCGAGGGTTGTTTTTCTTAACCCCAACCTTTTATTTTGACAGCGCGTTAAGAAGTGAAGTTGGCTGCAGGAAACGAAGAAATTGTAATTTTTTCTGAAAAGTTTCTAAATGGGCTATGTTTAATGTGTGTGCGAATGTATAAAAGTATAATTCATAAAATTAATTGTTGCATTCATTCTTTTTGTACTAATTTTAGTAGTTGAGTGAGAAATAGACGAAAAGTTGCCCCTTTACTTGGGAATGTCGAAAGTTGTCGTTATCGGTGAGCGGTAAAAACACAAGTTAATTAACCAACAACGCAACCACAAATTTATGTTGAAGCTTCTATGAGTTTCTTGAGGTCCAACCGAAAATTATAACGAAACTTTTGTGTACGTGTGATCGTTCATCATTTTCTTACAAAACACCTCCTGATGAGTATGTCTGTTTCCGAGTTAATTCTTTCAGTGTTTTGTGAGTGATGCGCGGAACACAATGCTCGCGACAGACTGTAGCAGCACGACAGTGAGCTGAAAATGGCGTTGTGAATCCGATTACATGAAAAATTATATATGAAGCATATGACGCTATTTGGGATGAATTGCATGATGCATATTTGTCAACACCAAACTCACACGAACTTCGAGATATTGCCAGCAAGTTCTATGTAAAGACTGGAATGCCGAATTGCTTGGGAGCTATAGATGGGAAGCACATTCGTATAAAAAGCCCAATAAACAGCGGATCATTGTACTACAAGTATAAGAAAACGTTCAGCATTGTACTAATGGCAGTGAGTGATGCTAATTACGTGTTCACATATGTTGACGTCGGTGCTCTAGGAAGCCAAAGTGACGGTGGAATATTTGCCCGCAATGCTTTTGGAAAGAAGTTGCTGAATGGCACACTGGAAGTTCCTTCTGACACAAACTTACCAGGTACAACGAACAACTTTCCGTTTAAAAAAAAAAAAAAAAAAAAAAAAAAAAAAAAAAAAAAAAAAAAAAAAAAAAAAAAAAAAAAAAAAAAAAAAAAAAAAAAAAAAAAAAAAAAAAAAAAACTGTCGGTTCCCAAGACAGTCGGGTCTACGAAAACTGGAACGGACCGGGATTTTTATCCAGCCAAGGACTGTCAACTCGGCAGGATTCTGCCGTTACAATAACAACAACAACAGCTTTCCTTATTATTAACCAAAATTTAATGCGACCATTTCCCGGCCGCCTCTTACCAGAAGAAAAAGACAAATTTAACTTAGCGTTGTCTAGAGCCCGAGTGCACATAGAAAACGCATTCGGAATTTTGGCTAATCGATTTAGAGTACTGCATACAACAATACATGCTTGCCCAAAGAATGCAGACAAAATTGTTTTAGCTACGGTAGTACTTCATAACTTTTTGATGCTACAAAATTACAGGAATTACTTCACCCTTGAACTTGCTGACCACTCAGAAGGTAACAGGGAAATACCCGGGCGTTAGAGGGAAGAAGCGAATTCCCTTGAATCGTTTCAACCAAGAGCGGAGAATCGCTCAACTGCAAACGCATTTCAGTTACGTGAAACCCTAAAAATTTATTTCACATAATGCTGTATAATGTTAACTATTTTCATACAATATTATTTTTATCAATAAAACGCAAGGTTTATTTTTGTAGTACAAAAAAGTTTTTATTTAAAAAAGTTATCCAGAAATACAATATATATGCTGTCTCTTATACACATCTAGATGTGTATAAGAGACAGGTTACATATTGGATATTATGGTACATATATACATATCTATACTATATACATATATATAAAAACAGGTATTTCAATTTCGTCTTCAACATTTTTTATATATCACGTTTTTAAATAAAAAAAGTTACTGCTAATATCACCATTATATACATATACAGTGTATACAAAAAAACATGAAATTCAATTTTGCTTACTAACTACTTAAAAAAAAATTATTCTCTACATAAATTGAACAAAAAATATTTTCAGTCTACCATCAGTCTATATATCACATTTTTAATTAATTTACCCTAAATACCCCAAATAGAAATTGCTGATTTCCTCAAACACTAATGCCAACACTTTTGCCTTGATATTTGTCGCCATTTCTGGTGGAAGACCGGTTTCCGAAGTTTTTGTAGCAAGGGATGCGAAATGTTGTGGGCCGGAATTGGTTTTACGCGATCGTGATTCGTTAATCATTGTACATATGCTCGTGAATGCCGTCTCAAGGAATTTCGCGAACGCGTCTCCGTTCTTTTTCTGCGAAAATGGATTGGAGACTAATTAATAAATTTTTCAAAGCAAAACCAAGAAATAAAATATACCTTTTGTCCACGTCCATCCGAAGATGTCGGCTGCGACGTTTCCATTGTCGTCGATGATGTTGATGCCTCTAAAGGATCTATAATTATTATGTCTTGGACACTTTCGACGTCCTCGCTTATGCTGCTAATAGTACTGTAAAATACATTATTAAAAAACATAATTTTCGTTACGTAAGGATATTTACTTACGGAATTGAATTTGGAATTTTTTCCATAAACGCCATCGCCTCCAGATAACGCCATTTTCTCCATGGAGTTTGTTGGCCACTCCCGGAAGCGACTTGCTCCATGACTTTGCATCGCTCGTAAGAGTAACGGGGACTCTTCCACCTCTTCTTGAATTCTAATTCTGCAAATGAAATTAATATTAGAATTCAATATGTTTTATTTACAATTTGCCTTACCGCTCAGCCTTGTGTTTGCAGAAATTTGCTTCCATGCTATATGCTTCTTTCTCAAATTTTTGTAGTCTCTGTGCGAGGCATCAAAAATTAACGGGAAATTACGAACTTCTGCGATTAAAACTTCGTCCAAATCCATATTTATATCTGAAATATAATATTTCAATTGTAAACTAAACCTAATTACATACAATAAATGTATAATTATTATAAAATTAAAATAATACCTACCGCAAGCCGACCAATTCGCTTAAATTTCAGTAACACAATGGCCGGCATATACACAAAACAACGCAGGTGTCCATTTCGCATGCACACAATTTCGTTGTGGCCATACTAATACCTTGCACTTCAATGAAATTTTAATATTTTGTTC